ATGCAAATAAAATATTTTTATTTATAATATTTATATTTTTTTTTCAATCACCACTTATACATTAATCTTTTGAATTTGGATTTACCTTGATTTATATTTTGGTTTCATATCTAACTATATAAGTACCTTAATAATTATTAATCATTAATAACCATTTATGGTATTATATTGTTAATATTACGGATAATATTATGTTTCAGCTTCGTAGAATTTTTATTGGACATAAGATTATGACGTATCTTGTTAAAATGTAAATCTTAAAAATACTCAAGTCTATACATTTTTACAAATTAATATATTTTTAAATATAAAAAAATATTCCCTCCGGGTTACAGACTCGCAATACGTGTTTAATGTTCTTAAATGATTAATGTACTATATTCAAGAGTGTTATTTGAATCAGCGTGTTGAATAGAAACACAATTAGAATTACTTAATTTATATTGGACAAAACTCATATAAAAGTAATTTAAATTTAAAAAAAAAAAAATCAATAGGTATGTCATTTACTTTACCGATGACTTTTCCCTTTTTGTGTTTGGAATATTTTCTTAGTATCGTTCGCAGTATTAACAATTCCTCGTTTTTCATTCCTACCTGTCTGAGCCTTTCAATAGTCCTGACTAGAAGAAATGAAATAGGGAGGGTTATTGCATTGGAGCTTTACGTTCCCCCTACTTTGTCTGCGACATTGGGAATTAATCTCAAGACCTTCCGATCTATACATGTATATAATATAAACTACACTAGATGTCGGCCGTCCGAAGGGAGATTTATCATAGTTCACCCCCTTCAACCGTGAGGCCCACCTCTTTAACAGGTTAAGACTTTTAATACCCTGTATCATATATATATGATAAAGCCCCTTTCTTACTATTTCTCTCTCTCTCTCTCTCTCTCTCTCACACACACACTATCTGTATCTCTCTCTATCTCTGTCTCTCTCGCTCTCCTTCCACGAGGTTCATCGTAGGTTAAGAGAAATACAATCTACTTATCTGTCACAGTGTACGGGTGACACGTTAATGGCAGCCACACTGTTACCTGCACGAGGTGAAGACGATTTGGTCGGGAGGGTTGGTTCTATCTCCCGGGGGGCCTTCCGCCGGGACTATGGCGTGTACACCTTCTTATCGTGTGAATTACGTAGTTTCGTGGAAGATGTGAACCACGAGATTTATATATGGAGAAGCAACCGAACAGCGATGGGCAGGCAGACAGACGGGCTTTGGGAGTTTAATTAAAGCGAACCAAAAGTTTTGCCATAGCTTATTTTAAGCCCCCGGGCCCACGTACACGGACCCCTCTACAATTATTTACTTATACGTGCTTACGTTTTAATACCCAACCATCATATGTGATAGCGTGTTAAGACATTTTTATTTCCATTCGAAACATCGTAAACTCTTGTAACCATACACTTTTCAACCAAACGGGTTTCAATGTTAGGATATAATTTAGCGGTAGGTATATACACGATAATAATAAATATGCGAGTATGCAAACCGTGAATATATACTAGCTATTTCTCTGATAAATATCCCGTTTGGTTTTTCCCCAATTATCCACCCTTCAATATTGTGTTGAGTGATTAATTATAACTGTCTGACTATAGTCGTACATAATATGGTACACTGTACGAGTTTGGTACATATTGACTATTTCAATTTATTGTTCTTTTACAGAGTTTTAAATTACATTTGAATTCACATTGTATACGTATGGTGCATCGTCTATATCACACGAATACATCAAAAAGTTTGCAGCCAACTTTAAAAACAAATTCAGAACTATAGTGACTCAAACTTTTACATAAAACGTATTGCATGGGTGAGATGACATTTTGTTCATTTATGAACTTAAGCATTTTAATAGTTGACATGAAGATCCAAAACAACGAAAAACCTGTTTGTAAATGAATCCCTAATTAGTAGTTTGTGTTACAGTTGTACCTTTTGGTTTTCAAGCATTTAGTAATTATAACGGCTAATTATACGACTCAACATATTATTAAATTATATATTTTGTGTTTAACATTTTTGTTAAAATATTACTTTAGTTTCAGTGGTAATTTGTCTTTTTAATATTTTGGTTTTAATGACATACCATTTCCGTAAAATGTAAAGTTTAAAAATGTTAGTAGGTAGCAGAGTTGGGCAAAATTTTATCTAGATAATTATTCGAATAAATCTGTATTCGAATAAAAAACTATTCGAATGTTTTTTTTACAATTATTCGAATAAAAATGTATTCGAATAATTTTCAACTAAGATTATTCGAATAAAAAACTATTCGAATAATTTTCAACTATGATTATTCGAATAAAAAACTATTCGAATAATTTTCATCTATGATTATTCGAATAAATTTTAAAGACGGTTATACGAATAATTCTTAGTTATTTAATTTGATTAAATATACCTAGTTCATAATAAAATAATTTTTTTAGATATTGCTATTATCGATCTATTAGGATTGTTGTAATAATTGTTATGAAATATTACCATTAAATATTATTCATATTATAATATTATAAAACTATTGTTAAAATATAATTTAAAAAAACATATCTAATTTTCTAATTCTTAACTTTCTTCTATTAATAGATATTTGTTTATTGTTTATTCGAATATCTATGTTTAAAATTGAATCAGTTAATTTTTTATTCGAATAACAATAGTTGAAAATTATTCGAATACATTTTTATTTGAATAATTGTAAAAAAAAATATTCGAATGATTTTTTATTCGAATAATAATAGTTGAAAATTAATCGAATAAATTTTTATTCGAATTATTGTAAAAAAAATTATTCGACTAAATTTTAATTCGAATAATTGTAAAAAAATCATTCGAATAATAATTTATTCGAATAAAATGTTATCTAAATAATCATCTAGATAAAATTTCATTCGAATAACGCCCAACTCTGGTAGGTAGGTACCAACATGTAACCTATTTTTTACCTTATTCCCCAAAATTAAAACTTTTTTTATAACAGTTAAGTTGAATTGTATTATACTTCAACTATTTGATATAAAGTAAATTATTCCAGTGATATTATAATATAATATGTTTTAAGTTCAGTATTTTTGTTTGTTAAACTGTATAATACTTAAATAGTTTAATATAATAAAAAAAAAAATAAAAAAATATATGTTTTACTTTAATCTAATACAACATCGTATATATTATTAATATGCAGAGCAATTGTGTATAAGATTGCTTAAAAATTACTAAAACTTACCTATGTATAGTTTTCAACATTTAATTTCTCTTCGGTGTGAGGTAGGAAAAATCATACTTGAATTCGGCGTGAAAAGAGTATAAAAGAATAAAAAAGATAAAATAAATTGCTCATTTCGAAATAAAAGCCTGCATAATGTTCCTTCGGGGAGAAGGCGTTTATTGCTGAAGCTTTTGCGAAGTTGCAGGACTTTTAATAAACGGATAGTCCAATATCTATGAGCCTTGTCATACCACGGTGAACTTTTATACAACTTTGTATAGTACGTTCTCTTCGCTTAATGTATTATAATAACATCGTATTTAGTTTGTACGTAATGCGTGTGCAAGTAGGTGCTATTATTTGCGGGGTAAAAAGTGAAATATAGAACGGAGTCAAAACGAAATGTCGGAATATTAAAAATAAAGACTTAAAGGCAAGTTTTGTTTTTTCAAGTTTTTTTTTCATTCTTGTCCTGGTTTTTGTATCGCATTTTATGTGTCCGAAAAAGAAACGTGTTTATTCGAAAAGAGCCCATTCTAAATTGTTTTGTAACCCACGATGATGACTTGTATACGTATCATACCAAGTTTAATGACTAGTTTTGGTTCATTAAGCAATACGGTTTATGGGACAACTAACCGGAAAAAAACATCAAACTTGTTTTAAAACGAGATGTATACTAATGGTATTTACCCAAAACTTAAATCGTGCAAGTTAATGCGAAAGTCCCTCGAGACAACGTAGTTGTCTTTTCTGTGACACTTTAAACTATTTGGGACCTTAATCATTCGCCTTCTGATTTATACTAATGAACTGAAAACATTAAACATCAAAATATATCTTTAGTTTATCAATGAATTCGATTAATATTATAAGTTTTGTGAATTATTGAGAACATAGCAGTTTAATAGTATGTTATTAATTTGTTTGGAACAAAATATGAATGAACGCGAATTATTCAAAATTATAAAACCAATTGATCAATGAACCAAGTTCAAAATATTAGCATAAATGTAAAGTAATATTCATTTAACTGATGTATTTCATTAAAAAAATAGAACAATTTAAACAGGGTTCTTGGAATTAATCGAAATGCATATTATACTATTTAGTATTTTTGTATTCTAAGCTAAACTTAATAGTGGACACTATGCATTCATAGTTCACCATAATATTATACTCGATTCGTTCTAAAATAAACGATGTTGCATGCAATAATAGTCTTATACGCTGTTCAATGCATTGATATAGAGAAATCGCTAAAATGTTCAATCAAATTAATATGTTATAACATTGTAATATTATATATTATATTAATATTTTATATTCAATGAGCCTATAATACTACGTTTCTCTTGGCGTTTCAGCCGATTGCAAAATACTATTAGGATGGAAATAGTTCTATAATAATAAATATATATGTATAATGTACCACGGCCATTAATGTCGGTGTATAATCACTATAATGTCTTCTCTATATCGGATGTTATCTGTTCGAGTTCAAAGGGAAATCTCGATTCAAATGGAATACGGAAAAGTCCAAAAGGACTCTTACTAAATAACACATCGGATTACAGCCAGCCGCGGAGACGGGACAGTGTCGCCCGCGTGCACCCCACCCGCACGACCACGATTCTCGTTTTCCTAATTCGGTTAAAAGACCTTTGTGCGACGAGGCCGTATAGTGTGGGTGGACTACAGGTACTTTTCTCTACATCGTATAAGTAATATTGTTATTACAGCTGCGTAATTAATAATAAAATACTATATCGTTAATTAATATCCGCCGTTACGCATTCGGCAGCAGCAACATCACGATAACCCCAACACCGCCTCCTGCCGGCTGCCACCAGGTTGTTCCATCTACTTCGTCTTCTTCCTCCTTCTCCTCCACCTCCTGCTCCTCTCACGAAACTTTTCTCCGCCCACTTCTGTTCGGCACACACACCCGACCGCCAACCTAACCCATTCCCGCTCCCTGCTACACCCCGCCAGCCGGAAGTGTTTTGCCTAACCGTGCGAAATCTCCGGTATTTGTACACCTGACAATACGAAAACACTAACCACGCCGCACCAGCCTCCACCCGCCGGTCGTGTGTATACATAATAACTCGTCGTGTAAACTCGCGACCGCCTTTAATGAGCGCAAACACGCGCGACGGGGATTACGGCACGGCGGAAACGGCCGGGCGCGACGAAAAACTTCGACCGAACTGCAGCAGCAGTAATAATATTATTTCCGCCGGCCCATGGAAGCCGAATGCAATAACCTCGCAAATAAAAAAAAATTGTATATTATCATTAATCGCTATTACAATAAATTGTATTATGATCACGGTATTATATTATATAATACAACTGTTACGCGCATTCGTCGTACTCGTGAATTTAATCTATATAAAAATCGATTGTTCATAATAATATTATGAACAATCGATTTTTATAATGATAGAGAAAAAAAATTAAATCGACGGATATTGTTAACGATATACTGTGGGTATTTTGTTTATAATATATTTTGAAATTTCGTGTTTTAATACGATAGTGCCTATCTCGGATATAATAACTGTTAATAAAATATTTACACACGTCATAATAATATATTCCGATATTCGTGCGAAAACACGAGATTAAAATTTCAACGAATATGTCCTTTTCATCCCGATAGAAAAGTACGTGCTTATATTATAATCGACAACATTGTTATATGTATATCCAATCTGAAATAAGGGATTATATGCCATTATTTTTGGCGAAAAACAAACATTTCGAAATAAACCGTATAATATATTATATATGGAACGAACTAATATTTTTGTTTAATAAAAACACCTATAAAACAGACCCCCCAGCTGTTTATATACCTGCCTATTAGTTATACACTTATACGTAGGTATATGAATGAGATGCGTACAACGCAAACTATATGTTGTTTCAAACCAGACGTAGGTACATATTATGTAATTTACCTTAAGTGAGATGGGTCAGTGTTCGTTGCTGCAGGTCTAATGAAAATATCACGAAATTTAATATTGATGCGTTTTGAACACGCTATAATAGAACACGATAAAAACTTGCAAAATGAACACCCTAATTGAGATATACTACCTACTCCATGAAGATAAAAAAAATAAAAACATCATTTTTTTTCTCTGAAGGGCTAGTCCATTAATAATGATGTTGTCTACTGCAGCCTACAATCGTAAAAGTAATTTTTTATAAGTATAAATATTTTTCATTGGCAGATCATTACGATGATTGCAAATAAACAAAATGTCGAATAACACGTGTATATATATATTTGTATAGACAATTTATTGGTGACGGCTTGATTTTAAAAATTGATAAGATTCGTTACGTTTCGTACTTTCGTTCGGTACACGTATATTATAGTTGTCAGTTCGTAATTGTAAATTTCAAGTCACGTGAGTTGTAGTCAATTTCTAGTTTTGATAATCATATGATGGACAATTTTGACAACTATAAGTAATTCAAATGTAATGCAAATATTAAAAAGATGATCTAGTTAGAGCCAGTATGGTCGAATGATGAAGTATAAATCCAGTCGACTCTGAATTGTTATTAAATTCAAAGCTAGCACTATTAAATTATTTCTTTGGGTAATTTGATTGCACTGAACGAGAGGTATAAAAATGAAGTGGAGAGCAAAGCGCAGTGATGAAAAATAAGGGTGAAAAGTACGGACAAGGGTGGTGGAGGCGGTGGTAGTTCGAAGACGAGGACACTTCATTCGCGGCGCATAGGGGAGTGTAGAGGACTTAAGCCTCTGACGACGATATATGCTGCCGCGTTATGAAAGGTACACGTCAAAGGTCTTAAGGGACGGATGCGGGGGGTGGCTTTTTATCGGGGAGCCAAGGATCACGCATACGAGAATACGGTCCGAAAAATTCCACGTCTGCAACGTTCCGGAGAAATCTGAGTCAAAATCCGCAAAAATAAAACAACAAACAAACAATGGAATAAAATATAATATGCTTTTAGGAGTTTAGTATTAAGCGATTATTGGATTTAGGTCTCTGTCTTGTACGGTGATTTTTACGTAGTAATTTTTTTGTATTAGTATTATTATTATTATTATAGCAGTGTATCTATCCCTATCCGATATCGGAAACAAATGAATTCGCTAATTGCAGGAGTCATTAGCGAACTCGTTGGTATTATCAAAATGGATGAAATACACATAATTCATTATTAACGAACGCTCCGCAGTCGTGCGATACGTTTAGTTAACACCAGAGATGTATTTTAATATCCGTGTAATTAAATTTGAGTTTCCGCAAGTTGAACGCAAAAAACATTTTATGATGAAAAAAAAAGAGAGAGAAAATAGTCTCCTCGAGAAACTCATTTCCGTGTGACTACCGAGGAAAAGAAAACGGGCGCCATTCGGAACAGAATGGTTTTTCGGATGCTGCACTATGACGAACCTACATAATAACAACATACGCCGAAGGGGAGAGGTGGAGTAAGATCTAAGTTATTGTGACGTGCGACAGGTGTCGGGACGATACGCCTCAAGTGGTGTCAGGTATATAATATTATTATCATTGTCATTAATATTATTATCAATTACACTCCGTGTACAACGAGTATATTATTATAATCTGTTATCTGACCGATGCAAAGCTTTATCTGGACCCCGTACACACATTCATGGTACATATAAGATCACCTGACAGAGTTACCCAGAGAGTTAGAGTGTTAGCGCGGAATAGGTGAAATTTCACCTATTCTGAGGTGTTACAGTCAGTGGAGTACGACTTATAATAATATAACGTTATCAGGTATAAAATATTGTAGTGATAAGTTGTTATTCTCACCTGCGGGCGCGTAGACAGCCAGGGCGCAGACCGCGACGACGGCGGCGGCAATGCGGAGCCGGCGGTCTGGCGACGGTCGCATGGCAGCGGACCGTGGGGAGCAGACGAAAAAAATCCGCAGCGGCGGATAGTTTAACACGACGGTGGCCGCCGGTCGTCGGATGACGACGACGTGACGACAAAACTCCGCGGTGGTGAGTCTTCCGGCCACATGACGGCCGCGCGAATAAAAGTGTCAACAGACGTTTACTCGATTCGACGTTATATAATATAATGTCTATAAAATGTATAATATGATTATACTTTTGCGAGATTTTATATGGCAATCCGCGGAAGAGGCGCGTTTGAGAAAACTCGAACGAAAATTTAATAACGTGTACCGCGGCGGAAGTGGTGGTGTTCGACACTTCCGGTCACACACGTCGGCCGATTGATAATAAAATATTGTATTGTCAGTGCGTTGTTATGATGCGCGTGACACACGGTCGACGTTTAGTTGTGCACCGCGTAAGACGATGGACACTGCACCCGCGCACTTGCCGCACACGAACGCACGACAGCTGCACGACGACGACGACGACCGACGGCGACGATGACGATGAGGTCTGTACCGTAACGCGGACGGTCTTGTATTGACTGCCGCGGCGCCCGGCGCTCGTGATAGTTGACGCGCGGCGGCGGCGGCGGCGTCGTTGTCGTCGTCGTCGTCGTCGTCCCCGACACCATCATCAACAGTACACCCGTAGTCCCTCCCGCGCCCTTCGACCGTTCGCGCCTCTAGCGCCCCAAGCGGTCGTGTGTGTATACTCGGCGGGTTTTCGCGAGGGAAAATTATTGCACCCCTATTACTGCACACGGTTTTCTTTCGTAAGACCTACACATATCATATGTATAATAATATGTAATATGCTATTGTAAAATATATTGTACACTTGCGTAAGTTATAGAATACTGTATTATCGTAGACGAATACTATAACACACTACACCGCGTGTGACGGAATCGTTTTTCCAAAACTCAAACCCCGTCTGCATTAATTATATTATTATTATAAAAGCGAAAGAGAAAAACAATGTCTAACGGAATGAAAATATTATAATACTGTCGATGTGGTATTATTATAGATATCGAAATTATCCACACCAATGTGATCACATTGAGAGGAACCCACAACTATTACTGTTTTATGATAGGTATATGGTATCGATGTATCTATCGTTTTTCAAGTCGTCTTCGAGGGCACATCGCATGCTCAATCTGTTATTATTGTGTCTATAATATGAGACGCATATTATTATTACCTACCTGCATATAAATTATTATGATGCATTTACAAGAGACACGCTTGTTGTCCGCTGTGTTACAACTTACAGTATCATTATTGTTTTATACTTAATATTAGTTATCTATAAGGTTAGGTTTACTGATATTGAAAATCTTGCCCCTTTCGGATAACCCAATACGTTTTTGTTGTTTGCATATTATATACTTACAACAAAACCGTATTAAATTTGTCAAAATAAAATCCTGTTCGTTCCACAGATGTTGTCGGAACACATCCATTCAAAGACCATATTATATTAATTTCACACGCATAGCTAAATAAATAATTAATTACCTGGGTTTTCTATAGAATTTCAAATTGACCGTTAAAACTTAATATTGTTGACAAATCGTGTACTTAAATTAATATTACAGTTTCCATGCCCGAAAATGGTATTGAGGTTACTAATAACATTATTATACATCGCTATGTATCTACAATATTTACAAGTCCTGATAATATAAGGATTTTGGTATCAACGGTAAACTTTTATATGTAACTATAAATCTCCGATTTCCTTTTTTAAAAAAAGTTTCCATAAAAAATAGTATTAAGAAAAACCGAACGGGCCTGATTTAAGTGTGTATCGTAATAAGCCCGTATTGGTATTAGGTATGCGCCAATACACAAGCAACAATAAAGGATAGTGTAGTCCTCTTCTTACTAATATTATAAAGTTTAAGTTTACAAACTTATCGGTGTCAAATTATCATCTTTGCAACCCAATCACATTTTAAGGCTGATTCAATATTAGAAAACGTTCTGCACAAAATATTTTATAAATTTACTGTATACAAATGCATAATATCAGTAGGTACAATTCATTTTTTAACATTGTTGAATAATAATAATTAATATGGTGTAGGTATGACAAACAAAAATCAAGTGAAACGTTATAGATTTGCTCCCACGCATTTTCCAAAGTAAAAAACTTTAA